TGACAGAATATTGCGTATCTTCTGGTCATTCTTTTGATGGGTTTTTCCTTATGCACTTTGTAAACAGAAATTAGGGCTGTGAAATAAAATCAAAGTGCACAAAGTTGTGATTCCTGATGCTGTACTTTGTAAATCCAAGTCTGTCCATTTATCCTCAAGCTTCTTAATTAGGTTTCATATACTTGGTTGATTCTTTCAAAAGCCTGCACTCCTGAGGGGTGTGCATCAGGAATGCACAAAGTGGCTGCTTTTACAAAACACACTGTTACACGAAGATATCCTTTCATTTGGAAATATTTCTTGGCACTAGAGTTCAACGAGGACATTATTAAAAGTATTATTTAAAGTAACTTTTTCTAGGAAATGGAAGAACACCTACCTGAACTTACTCAGTCAAACTTTGTTCACAGATGCATCAATGTAACTTAAGACAGAATTTACCAATTCCTTACAAAGTTACCATAAACAGTATTTGTTGACACAATAAGGTCTGTGACTATGCAGGTCTTGCAAAGTTACAACATGTACTGCTAGTACACTACATCTTTAAAGCATACTAATATTTGTTTGTGTAAAACAGCACTGTTTGGTTAATAAAATATTCAAGACTGATATACAATAAAGTTGAAACCAATGTTTTTAATTTTTATTTTCAGGTCTGAAGTAGAGAGTACAAGCTTGTGTTTGCTTTCTTCTCAGTATTACATGGCTGAGAACTGTCAGCTGTTCACATGCTATATTAATAAATATGCCCAAATCATAAAGCTTTAACTGTATTTGCACATTGCTTTTATTACTAGGCTGTTTTGTTCATGTTGGCACAGATAATCCATGCAAGGTAGTTACTCACATCTCATAAACCCACACTACATTCTGTTTTGAAACAACTAGAAACTTAGGAAGAAATATATATCTAAAAGCAAGGACACTTGTGGCATCAAGTCAACATGTCAATATATTATAAAACCTAGACTTCTAATATATGATCACCGCAGGCAATAAATCACTCAGTTTCAAATTCTGATGTTTATAAATACTAAACAAATTAATATCTGCTACCAGGAGATGAGTATTGCAAACAAACATTAGCGTGCCCAGCATTAGACACTAATGAGTATGTTCAGTGCTGTGGACATTCATATTATTAAACATAAATAAAAATAATCTTTAACAAAATATTTCACCCAAAATACTGACCACTGAAGGACCAAAGGAGAAATATTTTTCCTTGTTTTGAATTGATTTTAGAAATGTGTAACGTGTTCATCCAGTATAGTAAAAACTAACTTCTAAAAAAAGTAATTCTAAGAGTGGGTTTTTTAACCCAGATAATAAAAGCAGTCTTTTCTGGAAACATTTACTCTACCCTGTTCTGCAAAAGAACACAAAAAGAGAGAAAAATACTAAGTTGTTGAAGCCCTTGACTGAAAAGGTACTGAATAATTTTAGTTAGATAAAAGACTGGTCTTTTAAATTGATCATTCAGAGGTACAGTATCTTTGATATATTAGGCAAAACCCCATGTTAATTAGAATGAAAAGAAATATTCAGAGGACTTTTCCCAGGCATCTATTACAAGACATAAAACATAAACAAGTACACATTATTCATCTTGCATAATTTTGTACAATGTTAATTTCAGTGACAGTTGAAAGGCCCTATATTGAATTTTATATATATAATATATATGCATTTTACTCTCTCCATATCACAAAGGTGACATGTGGCAGAAGAGTATCAGCAGTTCTGTGGTATTCTACCCCTGTGAAAGTTAAAATGCTACATTATTATTCAGAAATTTCTGGTTCAGATATGTGCAAAAATTATATCTTAATATAGATATCAAGAGTGGGTACATGGATTCCCTAATTTTGGACCACATTATGAAGCAGCACAAGTCATAACAGGAAATTTTTATTACATGATAATCCTCAGGGTATCTCTGTTCTTTCAGAGATATCACTGTACCTCATATAGTGATATGTAAACTAGCTTTAATCTCACTTGCTCAGACACCAGCTGGAGTCAGGGCATGTGCTACAGTGCAGGTTATCTGCCCAAGGAAATTTTCAAGACTCTCTCAAGTTAGTACGGCTCCCACTGCAAAGGAAATTTTCAGGACTCTCTCAAGCTAGTACAGCTCCCTGTACTGAAGTCTGTGCTGCTGCATTTTCACCGTTGGCACTCCCCAAGCTAACTCAGCTATACTTATGTACACTGCATTCGCTTTTCAGCAGTAGTGACTTCAGATTTACTAGACTGCATCCTTGCTCACCCCTTCTGTACATTTTCAAACTATCTCACTAGACTATTGTGAACTACTTGTACCCTAATTTCTTACTTCAAGCCCTTTCCCTGACCGTAGTGAGTATTCTTAGCTATTTCCCTATCCCTCCTCTGCCCCAGCCCAACTATCTAACAGCTCAACTTGGTGAAACTGGCCTTACCTAGCTATTCTCTCTCCTCCAACCCCAGCTTCAGTAAGGGCTTGTCATCTCTTCAGTGCTTCATCTTTGTTCACTCAACCAGAGGCCAGCAGAGCCCCTACATTTTGGCTGCCACAGGTGCTCTCCCTTCTCTGATCCAAGTCTCCCTCCCCCTGCCCACACTGAAAGCCCCATCTCCCACACCCGTGGCCACCCCAGCAGCTCAAGGCTGACCTGGGCCACCTCAGCTGGCAGTCTGGGCTCCCTTGTGAACTTGAAGCAGGGACAGTCCCAGCCATGCTGCCTACCAACACCTTCTCACAGACTGTACCCTCGCCTGAGCTGCATCTCTGGCTGTATCCTAAAATGCTTTAGCCTTCATGCTGCCAGTGAAGGAGCTTTTAGGGACATTGAGGGGGAAGGTGGAGGGAAAATGAGGCACACACATATACACACATGCAGATCAGAGGTGAAAGACCATGAAATTCTCCTGAGGCATCCATCACAAGCCCTACCATTTTGTTTCTTCCCATGAAGCCAGAGTCCCAGTTTTGATGTTGCAGTCAGAGACCAGTCACAGTCAGTGGGTAACGCAGAAATCTGCCTAAAGAATATCTTCAATGCAGTCTTAGTATATGGTATGCTGATATGAATTCTTTTAAATCACAGATAATAATGAACACCACATTTTGTTGAATGACATTCAAAACTTAGAAGGAAATCTATGTTGTGAAAATGCATTTAATGAAGTCAAATATGAGTGAAAAAATATTTAACTTCCATAAATAGAATTTATTCCTCTGGGGAATATTATGAGCCAGATCTTTGGAGTCTGTAATCTATGGAACCATATTCACACCAGCCCAGCACCAACTGAAAACAGAAAATTTGCTTGCTTATAGAAAAAAACAACTTTGCATATGATGTATTAGTGTTTTAGAATAATTCATGCATATAAAAATCTGACCCTGTAGCACTCAGATCAGATCACCACTAAGATCAGTGAAAACTAAGATACCTACTGAATAAATACAGATCATACATATCAAAACTGCCACAGGCAGTTCAGGTTGGTATTTTTGTCCAAGTTGCAGACTGCCTGCAGCTAACTTAACTCTCATATTAGAATGTCAAATTTCTTTTACTCCTCCCCCAAGCTTTGGATAGGTTTTCATCCCTTAAAAGACACACTGGTTATCTGAAAATGGGCATTACCCACAGAAGGGACTAGGCAGACAATGTTATGTAGTTTCTTGCTACTCAAAAAACAAGGTAAAATAGGTGCAGATGGCACCAGCATGTGGCCTGCAGAATGCATCCTCAGCCTCAGAAATACTAATTCAAAACTGTCAGTACTGCAAGCTGTCAACACACACATCGTAATTCTCACTTAAATGAGTTAATAAAACTTGAATAGTGATCAGATTTTCCAGCTGTCAGACACAACTGCTGTCTCCAATATAAAAGTCATTGATATTTAAAAATGCAAAAATATTATCAGTACTACAAGTATTACTCATTTGAAAAAATGAACCCCAAAACCACCTGTTTGAACAACTTGAAAGTTGTTCTTAAACTATTAGAAAAGATGACTCAATGGTTATCCTTACTGTTGGAACCTAGCTACTGATTTACAATGGCAAATAGTAATCCAATTCATGATGTATTTGCATTTAAACAAAGAAAAGTAACCAGAGTTTGTGCACTGCCATACAAATTTTTCATCAATGCTAATTTACTCTAGGGAAAAAAATGCCCTTTTCCTAATTATGCAGGATAGAGTAGGGAATTTTTGCAAGCTATCTCCCACTTCCTAGCTGTGCTAGATGGATGTGTTCTGTGTTCATCAATGTGAAGGTCCAGATATAGATTCCTACCTCCCTCTAATATCAATGGGAATTAAACGCCACAGCAACTTTGAATTTATTCTTTCCTTCCACAAGAGGGGAGGAAAACTAGTTTTGAATGAGAAGTTGGCCTTTCCAGCCTGCTCTATTCCATTCAATGTAAGAGCAGTTTGAAGAAAGCCAGTTGTCCTTTTCCATTATGATTTGAAAGTGAACTAATCTACTGTGGACATATAAGCCAAGTGCAGTAGCAAGGTTGACCCAACATGCTTTTCACAATCTTGCAGGGTTATGAAGGGGTTATTCTGTTTCTGCTTTATTTTCAAACCATTACAGATTGTCACCTAGGCTTCCTGGCTACATACAGATCCAAGGCAGGCTTCTTACTTGGAAGGAATCTAAAATATCTGATGCTATGAGGTAGCACCACAACAGAATGGACTAGCACTCAGCTTTTCATAGAGGAATCCCTAACCTATTTATTTCCCTTTGAAAGCTATGGCCTTTGGTTCTACCGATGACTATATGTATGGCACTTACTCCTTCTTGCTGTGAAAGAAAATGACTTACTCAGAAAAGGATTTTTCCAGTTGTTTTTAAACACCAGTGTGTGGTCTAAGCAGTAAAACTGCTGTTGGTAGTTAATTTAAAACTGTATTTGCACATTACTTTTTATATTAAGGTTTTTAGTCAATTTCAACATTTCCCCCAACTGCTGCTCCAATAATGGACTAGTTCATTTGCTTTTGACTGTTCATTCAGTAGGTTTTTGTAGGAACCTTGCAAAAAGTATGTTCTGCATTTATGAAAGAGGATAAAGTTAAACTTCAGAAGTACCAACTTCCTAGCTTTTACCAAGAGAAATGCTAGCTATGGTTATCAACTTTATGATTGCCCAGTTAGTCATCTGTTTTACTCCAGCATTACTGACTACCAGCTCTTCTTTTAAACGTTGATGGCATGGGCATGCTTCTTGCACAGTGGTTTATCCTTCTTGGAGTAGAATGGTTGACCTTCCAAATTCACATGGCATACCTAGAATTAATAATAAATAATAATAAATATAATCAAGAATAATTAAAGGGGAAAAAAGAGACAGAGAAAGATGTGACTACCATTTTCAACTGTACTTTTCTTCTGCCCATGCATTTCTTTGATAAAAGTGCATCTGATGTCTTGGATCGAAGTGCATGTCTTGGTAGTTTTCCTACTCCATGCTGAGGTTAGGTTCTGGTCTGCATCAGCTCTCCTGCCTGTACTTTCCTGCCACCCTTGCCCACTAAGTTCACTGGTTTCCATTGAAACAAAGTCCTGGTACATGATCAGCTAGGCAGCATTGGCACATCCCAGCAGCATTTGTGTAGACTGTCAAAGGATATTGGCACACTTGAGCAAATGCTTTATTTGCAGGACTTTAAGCCCTGGATTCTGATCCTTCAACAGAGGACTCCACAAAGGTTCTGGTTAGGTGCCACGGTCCTGGGGCACCATCCTTCCATGGTACCATTAGATACTCATTTCTGCTTCTACTTTGTCTTGGTACAGGTGCATATGCAATCCAGAAGAAAGTCATTTAGACAGGAGGTATCATTGGATACAAATTTTTATCAGGTTACTCTTCAACCCAGAGAGCTCTCTGCCTGGCTGTGCAAGTGTCAGTGTTGACATAAGCATGTGAGAATGCATGGCTGAGGCAGGGCAGCCCAGGTTTAGAGCAGCTTAAACTGCCCTGGCATTGTAGAGATACCTGCACAGGGCAGTGCAATACCACTTGCAAGGTCAGAGTCAACTAGAACCACTTAAGGAAGTCAACATGTCAGAATCTAGGAATAAGAATAAACATTGTCCCTAATGCTTATGGCAGGCTTAAGACTAGTGAGTGGCAACATCAGTGATGTTGTAGAAGGAAAATCCTGTGAAAGGACACGAGGATAGCAGATTAGAAATTAAGAGTCATCTATTGATTTGCATTAAGAGTCATCTATTGATTTGCATTAAGAGTCATCTATTGATTTGCATCTATTGATTTTGCATCTATTGATATTGCATTTGCATTGGACTAAACCCACGGAAATAAAGTTAGGTCCTAAAAAAAAACCCCTTGCTGTGAGAATTGCATAATAACAACATATAATAAAACTATCACCTCCACAGAAAATTAGGTAGCTAAAGTAAATGAACAAGCAAAAAAGAACATTAACTATTCAGAGAAAGTGTCTCTATTGATTTTGCATCTATTGATATTGCATTTGCATTGGACTAAACCCACGGAAATAAAGTTAGGTCCTAAAAAAAAACCCCTTGCTGTGAGAATTGCATAATAACAACATATAATAAAACTATCACCTCCACAGAAAATTAGGTAGCTAAAGTAAATGAACAAGCAAAAAAGAACATTAACTATTCAGAGAAAGTGTCTTTTATAAGTGATCAATATTTATAAGTGATTAATAGCTGTTAGTTTGTGAAGGAAACTTGCTGTCTAGTATTCCTTTCTGTGTTAGAACTTCCAAAAGATTTCAGTTTTCACAAGACAGTTTTGTGTCACTCACTTCCTTGTACCCTTGAGAGACCAGCAGCCAGTTTAGCTTTAGATATTTATAAACATTTCTATCCTTTCAACTCTTCAACTAAATTTTACAGTTCAACAAACATTAGAAATTGTCACTGTTGGTTTGGTGTGGCCAACATACTATTTTTAGCTAATTAGAGGTTCTAGATATTATTACTTTAGGAATAATATGTTGTAGACCCACACAACAGTATTAGAACCAGATGAAAGTACTGTTTATCATATGGATTTTACTGCTTTGTGTGCAGTGTGGGAATATGGCCACACTCTATAGCTGTGTGCACACCACAGATTGATGAGTTTGACCAACTTCTATGCTAATTACCATTCATTCTCTCTAAACAGACTCCTTTTTGCAAGTCTCAACAAGCATTCTGCATGGAAATACAAACTTTGTTGCCTTGTAAGTAAGATTGTGGTTATACTGCTCAGTATGCTGTTAGTTTATTTTAAATCCTGCTTTATCTTTATTTGGTAAACACTGGAAAGATTAACAGCAATGTATTACTGTATGTACTCACTAAAACTGGATGTTTTATTAGAAAACACTCACTTGTGATAGTCAAATTTCATAATTCTAGTAAAAGTTTATGGAGGAGAAGATAAATGACTCCCATCCTTCTCCATCTGCAAATAAAGAAGGAAATCCGATCCCTCTGCATCCTTAGGCATATGTTAGTCATTCCTAATCTCAGGTTTTGTTACTACACAATTTAGGAATATAAAGAAATGAGACAGTATTTGGTGTAGAACCTACAGCACAAATGAAGCAGGTATCATGCCAAGTGTGTCCAAGAGCTTCAATGAATTTATCTCCAGCTTCAACAGGATAATCACAGCCATGGCATTTTGTGCTGAACAAAGCAATATAATCTAAAACAAAACAAAAGGCAAACTTAAAATGAACTCTTATTTAGGAATATAAAGAAATGAGACAGTATTTGGTGTAGAACCTACAGCACAAATGAAGCAGGTATCATGCCAAGTGTGTCCAAGAGCTTCAATGAATTTATCTCCAGCTTCAACAGGATAATCACAGCCATGGCATTTTGTGCTGAACAAAGCAATATAATCTAAAACAAAACAAAAGGCAAACTTAAAATGAACTCTTAACACAATTGTATTAAATCCAAGAGAAACAGAAAGTTTCCAGATGACGAATTTTTGGATTGTTTTTACTCAGTTTCCTACTACATTCACTGAAACACTCATACTGAAATTTGCTGCTTTTCTTTCATTACTTTAATACAAACTCAGTTCAAGGCCCCATACCACCATGACATTTGCCATCACAAATGTAGAAGGCAAACAAAAAATTCATGGAATTTGAAGTGATGTTTCATACATTACTTTTAAATGACTTTAATGTAGGTGGAATCTATTCATAAGGAAAAATATGGTCATACAAAACAGTATAATGGCCAGGGAATGTTACAGGTTTCCCTGACTGGATTTATGTTCTCTCTGCATTAAGAGAGAATATTATGGAAACCCCATACTGGCTGATTAATACATCTTTACTTTGACTATCAAGTGCAATTTGGAAAGGCTTGACATTGAAAAAGATTAGTGGAAATTCTGATGGTACATGGAATTCCTGAGAGTCATTAGACATGTTTTAAAAGGTAGGTGGATACCCAATCAGTCATACTGTATGGTTTTGACTCTTCACTAAGAGTTGCTCTGGTTTGTAAAGTTTGAGGTGCATAACTATAAGGAAGGAATCTCCAAAGAGAAGTAGGCCACAAGCCCATGGAATGGGCAAAGGGAATACAGAGGAAATACCACTTAAACCCTAACCTGCTTCCTGATCATGTGAGGCAACTCATTTGCATGGGAAATGCCATTATTAAACTGTATTATTGTTTCAATAGTTTGGGAAAACGTGGCCTTTTCCTTTCTCAGTTGGCAAGAAGCAGTTGATTTGTTGCAGCAGTCAGAAAACAAAATCTGCACTACCATGTGTTGCACATCTGTGCAGAGCTATCTTTTCATATATGCTGGTTGAACAGTTCTAGGACAAGGCAGCAGCATCAGAGGTCATAACTCAAGCGACTCAGTAGAGAGAACGTGGGCAGTGACCCACACATACTGTACAGAAGCACTACCAGAGCCCTACAAGAATAATTTTCATTTCATAGTGACCAGAATCTACCAAGGAAGGGAGGGGAACAGGGGAAAATATGTAGGGAGAGAAATGCCAAGTAAGTATCATAATACATAAGGGAGAGAAGTGAGATAAAACATTCTGGGACCTTCAGACAAAGACCAGTGCTCTGCTGTTCTATCATGTAAACTGGAGAAGAATGCAGAGTGGAAACAAAATCCATGCTGGATGGGTAACTGATTTTGTTTTGTTCATCAGCTTCTTTGTTCTGATGTTGCTTCCATGAACATGAAGTAACTGATTTGGTTTTGTTCATCAGCTTCTTTCTTCTGATGTTGCTTCCATGAACATGAAGCACATGATTGATGAGCAGAACTGTCCAGTTTGCCATACCTTTTTCGCAGTAAGGTTCCCCATCCTCCATGTGAAAGAGACTATTCCCAAATGGCATCTTACAAGCAGCACAGACAAAGCAATTTGTGTGCCAAGTCTGTCTTAGGGCATGCATCACTTCCTGTAAAACAAACAAACAAACAAGAATCTCCAGCTGAATAGCAAGCCCTGCAACTACCTACTGGAGAACAAACACAAGGCACAGATGCTCTAAATTTTTCCTTTCTGTATCAGCCAATTGCCCTCCTCAAAAGAATGAATTATGACAGAAATTGGGCTCCTTTTGAAAAGAATAAGAAATAGAACTGCAAACTTTCTAGAACGCAATTGCCAAAATGAAACAACATGGTTCAGCCAGCTGTTTGTATCAACATGCCCAGTTGCTGTTGCAGGAGAGATTCTGCACAAAGATTCTGATGATTTTCTCCTTTGTTTTGACACGACTAGTATGAACTCTTCAGTGCAAGAGTATGATTTGTTAAATAATTTTAAAGAGAAATTGTCTCTCCAAGACCAAGAATAAGTGATTTAAGCCTGTTGGTTCAAAACAGGTTAGATTATGTAGTAATTTCTGTATGCTTCATAGAAAAATTATTTACAAACTATGTGATATACTAAAAAAAAAAACCAAAGAAAAAGAAGTTGCTTAGATTTGAACTTATGTGATTAGTAAAAATGCGTCTGTGTGTCTCTTCATAGGCCATGTGTTTATCACAAAAAAACCCCTAATTCTGCACAACTGATGTTCTCTTAAACTGAATATCTAGATTTTATCAGCTTCTTACTTCTATCCAGTATGGAGCAATCTCTACTACTGCTTCATTCTTGTCCTGTCATACAGAAGTCCTCCAAGTCCCAAAGCTGCTGCACTGAGCTCTGATGTGTGGTTACCTCCTAATTTGTCAATCTTACTCGTGCCCAGGACGATGTTGGACAGTGTATCTCTGCCAAACAGTCCAGATTTCAAAGGGCAGCTGTCTAACATGTAAATTAATGTAACTTTGTTAACTGCAGTGAAACAGCATTGATTTATACCAGCTGAGAATCTAGATACTATTTTATGTTGCTTCCAATTATACACGTAGACTGGGATTCTCCTTTAAAGATTACTTTTAATGTCCATTGATTCTGACAAAATGGATTGAAGTCCTCTTCCATGCTTTCAGTCCAGTGAATAGGCAAAATAGTCTAATTTAGGTATGCCATATATCTCATTAGAGAATCACCATTTGAGGTTCATTAACTTCTGTTACTGTTTGCAAAACAGCTATCACTGATAAATAGGTTTGGATCCACTTATGAACCTTGGTGAGGTAAGAAGCAAAAAATAGCTTGAGAAATCTTATTAATATAAATAGAGGCAGCTGGCATCTTTGCTATTTTCCTGATGAAAATCCATAATTGGAAACTGATTTGTGCCAGCATTAATTAGGTAAGCTAAGTCAGTACTCTGCTGTAAAATTACTCTCACTGCCACAGTAGCAAACAAGACTTGGTTGGAGCCAGAGCTTCACCATAGATGTCTGATGCTGCCATCCCTAATTGGCAATTGCAGAAAAGAGCATCTAGTCTGTCAATGCCAACATTTAGACAGATGTCAAAAGGTGACAGATGAGCAGTGAAAACCAGTGTGGTACTCCTTGCTTCCTCATTTAAGAGGATCATGTCATATATTCACTACAACTGAATGCAGAAATACAATGCTAAAATTATCTTATGGTATTCCAACCTCATCACCATCTAAGGTATATGGACAACAAATTTAATTGTACATTTACTTGTACATGAGTACTTTAAAACGAAAGTGGCATCTATTTTAGGGTTTCTGGAATTCAGATATTTGTATTTATTATGTATTTTCTTAACTATAAGAAGTCAGCAGTATCTGCTCTTTCCAACATCACTGGCTTCTCCACTGAAATTTTGACTAAGTCCTGAGTAAGAAATAAAAACCCAGTTCAAGCCTCATACTATGAAAGTAAGGAAGCGATAGATAAAAGTAACATAGTGTGTATTGGATAGCAAGTGTACCCAGAAATTGTTACTTATTTTACACTCAGTGAGATGGTAACTGGATCACATATTCTGTATATGAGTACAGAAATATCCAAGATTTTGGATAGATAAAAAATATTATAAAATGTGTTTCTCATTCTGAAATAATCAGCAAGCTGGGAAGTCATCCTTAAAAGGAGGAAATAATAAAATATCTACATTCATTGCTTACAGTCTAAACTATTTCACTATTTCAGTGATCCACACAGCTGGAGAAAGGGTTAGGCTTGTTCTCTTACCCCCATGATCTTAGTGTGGCATCTGGCACAGGTTGGTGCAAAGAACTGTTCGTAGCAGCGTTCACAGTACACACTATTCTGCTCTTCCACAAAGCACATATCAGCCAAGGATGTCTTGCAGTAAGCACAATTGAATTCTTCTGGGTGCCAGGAGCGACCCATGGCTACCAGGAAAGGACCTCTGGAAACAATCATAATTATCTTATTTGTATTGCAAAAAGATTGAACAACTCTCACTGCAAACCCACTTTGTAAGGAACATTCTACTTGAACCTCGAGGTGCAAACTAAAATAACATCCAGAAGCCTGAACAGGAATAGTCTTTTTCAAGATCACTACTCAAACACACTGCTAATTGGTTAAAACATTTGATTAATTTTTGGTCACATATACTGGATTTGCAGACAACTGTTGGAAAAATCATCAGTTGCTTTCATAGCTGCATAGTTATAACTGGTCTTTGTGAGCAGCTGCAAAGACAACAGGAAAAAGCCAAGGATTGCAACACAGAAGATAATGCCACTATTTGAAAGCATGAAATAACAGGCAAATTTCCAAACCTACACACCCACACCTCACAATAGGTCCCAAAGTCTCCTGCCTTCTTTTCATCTGAGAGCACTGCATGCAGCATGTTCTAGAAATGTCAGACTATCAGATGACAATTTGCTGTTTCATTATGTGGAAGACACATTAAATTCATTTTGGTGATTGACTCTTGATTGTAGTTATAGTGATTATCACTGGAGTATTTCCATTTCAGAATATACATAAAGGGCAATGATCAGCAGTTCCACATCACCAAACTAGCTCCTTTTAGTGGGGAAGACTGTCCTTAAACATGGATTACTTAAAGTTGGTTAGCAGTCCACAGGGTAACAATGGGCACTGGTCCAGCAGAATGAACTGGGAGAGGAGAAGGGAGAGGCATGCTATGAATCACTGGTAATAGAGTGTAGGCATTATCTTTCTCCAGACAAAAGCAACAATTACATTTGGCTGCTGCTCCAAAATGATGCCATGTTCCTTTCCTCTCCATAATCACCCCAGTTTGCCCCCAGCTGCCCAACTCTCCCAGTGAAGGTGCACGAACCTCCCTCAAAGGGTACCTTAGGACCAGCAACTTGTTTAAAAAACAAGCAGTGATATGCCACAGCGTCCAAGAAACAAACACTTAGCATGTATAACTTCACAGTGATAAAAAGTAAACCACACAATAGCAAAATGAGCTCTGGAAATGTTAAATTAATGAAGCAGACAACAGACATCCCTGATGGGTAATTTGACTGAGTCTTAGGCTCTGGTACTGTATATTAATGTACAATAATCAGTCTCTCTGATATTTTTTTTCTGCTTCATCCCTCTTCAAAACCTGATGTCCTTACCGAATGATGCTGTTACAGTGCCCACAGAGAGGAGTTCTGCTGCTGGCTGGAAAGCGCTCAGCCCTCTGGACTGTGCCCCGGGCTAGTGCAGGAGGCTGGGAAGAAGTTGAAACTGGAGATGGGTAAGCAGATGTTGAGACAGGAGATGGCACTGGAACACCCCTTGGTAGGATGTGCTTTGTGACAGTGGTGGTGGATTTTCCAGGTGCAAATTTCTGGGAAAAGGAGTCATCTGTTACCCAGGGAGGGCGACTTGCAGGCTCCGTGTTGGCAGGGGTGTAGGAATGAACTGGTGCTGGTGCTGTTTTAAGTATCCCAAAAGAAACCGAGAAGTATTTTAAAGTCTTTTTCTTCTGATGGCAAAACAGCAACACATACCAAAGGGTACTCCATGACACACAAAAACTAAAAGCTTCAGATGACACTTAATTATGGTCTTCCCATTACTGTTCATGTATTCTGGACTGAAGCCAAGGATATCAGCACAATCACTGACTTTTAATCCACATGCATTACAGAAGTCATTGCCTAGTGGCTTTTACAGATTTTATGGAGAACATTTTTCAGGTCATCTCTTTTCTAGCAGGACTAGATATAGTAATTCTGTGATAACTTCAAAAACTGCCTTGTAATCTGTTTAAAACAGGTTAAAAATAGCAAGGCCAGATCATTTTAAGTGGAATTCCCCAGAATGTCAATAAATTATGCTGAATTTTTTATCCCATTATATTAATTAAAATGTAACATTTTCTATGGATGTCACTGTTGTTTATCATTTGTAGGTTTATTCCTAGGTTTCTGAAGAAAAACAGGCTCACACAGGGAACACAGAGAGCACTGGAAGCAATATTGAGGGAGCCAATTCAGCTCACATGACCAGCAAGACAAAGCCAACAGCACTCAGAGGAAGGCCAGACTTGTGGTTATGACTGATCTCAGTTCAGTTCTTGGATCTGCCACAAGCTTCCTGTATAGCTTTGAGCATAGTGTAGTATCTCTGTGCCTCAGTTCCTGTGTATAAAACAGAATATACTTTCTTTCTTCCACCCTCTCACTATCACATAGAATCTTCAGTGCAGACTGCCTCTGTGTTCACATGCATAAGGCTCTGATCTTGGGTGGAGCTTTATCACATAAAAATAGCAGGAGCTAGAGCCTGCACATACTGACAAGTTCTCCCATTGTCTTGCTCTTTTCAAAACATCAGATCTTGCTTTATGTGGGACTGAAGTTACTGCCTGAGAAACAGCCTCCCTTTGCCAAGTACAGGAGCACTAAAAGCAGTTTTCCTTTGCAAGGAAAACAAAGTGAATGATTGAAAAGAAACCTGGAGAGCTGAAGTGTTTTGCCCAAGTGAGAGAGCACAGATTTGGGAACAGAAGTCTGTTCTCCAGCAGTCTGGGCAAGCACTCTGCAAAGGAGATCCCAGCACCGATAAAACGATGACCAAATACAACATTTGCAGTTTTAAGGGGTTTTCAGTTAGAAAGGTATTTTAACCAAGAGGGTTCTGAATGTAACATGGATCTTTCTGAATAATTAAGTTTATTTTCTGAATAATCTTAGCCTGCACCTGGCCACACAGAATAACTTGCACTGGTTATCAGAAATTTGCAGGGGCTTAAATTTCATACGTATCAATCCACTGTGATCACCCTCGTGATCTTCTTTTTATTGAGTTCAGAGCTGAATCTCATGCATTTTCTTGATACAACTTTCCTGTGCTACAGCATCAACCATGTTTCTGCTTGATAAAACTGTATCCCACCTTAGCTTGAGGCCTCTATTTTATTTTTTTTTAAGCTTGGAAATGGTAAACAGTGTTAAAAGATTTCAGAGCAGAGTTTATATGCAATCTCTTTAGATCCTGAGGCGGTTGCTATTTATGTATTACGGTGTTAAGATAGGCAAAATTAAAAGGTAATATTTCATCTCTAATTGGTGAGTTCAAAAGGCCTCCACCTATGAGGCTTTCTAATTAAATAAGGTGACTTCTAGCTCACTTCATTGTGTGAAAGGATTCTCCCTCCCCCAAGAGCCAGTTCTGGCTCATGCAGAGTGCTGCCACGTATCCCACAGAGGGCCTAACAAAGTGGTCAGATATTCAAACCCAGAGTTCCAGAAAGGAAGAACAAATGCAGTCCAGGTATCATTTTCAGGATGTCTTTTTCTATGATTGTCTCCAGTAGATTCATCTTAGCTTATCACTTTTTCTTCCTTTTCTCACAATGTTGGTGCTTTATTTTTCCAGCTTGTTTATGCCAACCAATATAGACAGAATATGGTTTATCTGGGTTCAGATTAATCCAGACACTTTGAAGGATAAACATCAGGGAAGGGTCTTTGTCTTTCATTCTCTCTACCTTCTAATTCTTTTTACTCTCTTTTCTACTTGCTGTGCTAAAATAAAGCAACGAAATAGGATTTTTTCCCCGTTACTGAAACAAAATACCAGATGAATTATTGCAAAATGACAAATGTTGGTTGTTTGCAACTGCTCTGAGTTCTCTTTTCAGCTATTATAATTTAATTTTCCAGGCTTGATTTATTACAATACATTTTCTCCTGTGAACAAGCTGCAGTTACTAATGATTTAAAATTGTCATTGCAATATATTAGAAAGGTTTCACTAGCTTCGAGGTTTTAGCAATTGTTAGTAAGAGGGAATTCTTATCTTACTATCTTAGAACTATATCCCTAAGCTTGTAGGAACAACTCTTTTGTCTTAGTAGCTGCTGCCATACAAATTCACCTTGCATATTTATGTATTTCAAAGTCTTCCAACATAGATGCAGCAGAAAAAATGTGCTGTTTGCTACTAAAAGAGTGCTAAGCTTCAGTATATCAGAGAATATATTCTCAGAATATCAGTCCTGTACGAGCTGACCATTACCTGCTAAAAAATGAATAAATATTCAGTAAGGCAGCCTCTATCATCATGTTTCTCTCAGCCCTCAGATTCTCTTAGAGTAGGAAAGAATGAATGGGATTATTGTTATCCTGAGAGAATGGCAGGAGAAGAGGTCTCTCTTAACAGCCATAGGAACAAGCCAATTCTTTGCTTCCGGAGAATTTGGAATTCTCCCCATCAGCTCTTCATTTACGGTCAATGGCTATTTTCCCCTCAGACAAAAAGGCATGTTACCAAAGACTCATTTAGGAAAGCAAGGATTTATACAGTCTCAAATGCTTTACTCTTATATACTAGTTCATACTCTGAGAACAATTTTTTCTTTTCTTTTTTTTTTTTTTTTTTTTTTTTTTTTTTGTTAGTAGATCACATAAATGTAATTCCTTACTATTTTTCACTAACAAATGCAATTTATAGCCACAACTGATCTGGCTTGTTCTACACTTAGTGGCCACATCCTTGAGGCCCAAAGTTTTTCTATATACTCTTACTGCATATAGTAGATGACAGACAAACCAGGTGATGCTTTATAGAGAGAAACTATTCTTATTCAGAGGAATTAAACATGGAAATTGGCATATAGGCTGCTGTTCTAGCATTGAAGGCACTTAGGATTCAATGGAAAGGTCATTAAATGTGGCAAATCTATCTACCAATCTCTAAAGAGCTGAGCAGATCAGGCCTTTACACTTGACCACATTTGCATACCCAAGTAGTCCTGTTTGGACTTACGGATTTAAAAAGAAAGATCTGCTTTCTTACATTTAGGTATCCTGTTACTTGGTAGTACAAAACTGGCGTTTGAGTTGCTTACAAGATGTGAAAGCGCCAGCCCAGTCTGGGAAAGCCTAGGGAATGGAATTTACAGGGATGTTCTGCCATCTAGTGGACCTTGGTCAGGAGAGAAGACTATGCTCCTTTTAAAAGGAGAGGGTTACAAGATTTAGGGAAAAGATTTCAGAGTTCACAGCTTTCCTTATAGGAAGAAAACAAAGATTTTTAGCAGCTGAAAATTCCCACCTGAGTTAAGTTAGTCAAAATGTAGACCCACCTAAACGAGATACAACAGTGCTGCTTCTTTTTGAGATTGGTTTCAGTATAAACAACATTTAGCCCTTTTTTTTTTTTTTTCCAGTATGAGATAGATTAAAATAGTCTTGTTAATCCTTTTAGTGACTGATTCTGGTTTCTGGATATTGCATATATGAGCCTGCTGGTGGGTGTTTTAATCTGGAAGTTGGCATCCCACATTTTTGAGGGAAGCTAGTTTTCTCATTCCCACGAACACTGATGGCTACCATAAATTTCCTTTTAGAAATTCTGCATTGCAAATCCTCATAGCAATCTCCAGAATTTCAGCATTTTCACTTCTCATTCCCATGAACACTGGTGGCTACCACAAAGACATTCCTCTTAGAAATTCTGCATTGCAAATCCTCACAGCAATCTCCAGAATTTCAGCATTTTCACACAGTGGATTTATAAAAATAGATGTCTAAGAAACTATTTGCTAAAGTGAGTGTGCAAAAGCAAAAGCCTGAGTTTGCACCTAGCTAGGAAGAAAAAAGGTGTGTTTTCTGATCTCACATGCCATAATTTGAGAACAGCTAGTCCTCTGAGATTGAGGTTGCATTTTACACTGCAGAACAGAATTTGTATGCATTGACAAAGTCGGGTGAGGAAGTTTTCTCACTGTTTTGATGGTTTGTTTCAAAGTACTATTGATCTTTCCCATCTGTGACAGGAAATGCCATTTCCTCAATTTCTTTCCAAGTGGCAATTTCCCGTTTGCTCGGGACTGCAACTTTCTCCAGGGCCAGCTCTTGTTCCAAAGACATTATGAAGTGCTACTACATCAAATATACAAAAGGTTCAATAAAATGTCTTTCTGTAATCTCTTTTGTACCTGAGTCACATTAGGGTTCAATTATGAAGGTATTTTAGAATCCTTTATTGGATATCTCAAACTCCTGAACAATAGAGAGAGACTTTTTCTTTCTCTGCCAACTATTTTAAGCCTTTATTGGGAGGCAATAGGGTCAAAACCAGCAAAGAAGCTACCCATCCCAGGAGAAAACAAAAGCTTTGCCTTTTATTCCATGTCAAATTCAACAGCCAGCTGCTTCTTTAGCAGATACAGCTACTAACTGGATATAGCTATAGATTTACTTCTCTAGCAGGTTTGTATACTGAGAACTGGAGTTTATGCTTCCCCTAGACAAGCATGTGGCTTAGTGTCAATCAGTGTGTTTAGGAGATATTTTGACTTGCCATAGTTTACTCTGTTCTGCATTATGGAAATAAATCCTCTGTCTTCATCTTTCCTTTTACAAGTTAAAAATAAGAACATTTGCCTTTGGTGAGAACACGTGTGTGCTGACACACTTAATCAAAGGCAAGTGAGTTGAAGCTGAAGGTTTATTTACTTTGAGACCCTTAAATAGCTCATGATAGCTTCAACTTGGCTTTCTCCACCTTTATGTCTCAAATGCAAAGATCAGTCAATTGATTTGTCTGTCTGCTTTATGTCTAAATAAAATTTCTACATTTCTTTAATTTCAGTAGAACCAGAGATAGAACATTACAGAAAACAGAGTTTTACTGTTAGAATTCTTGGCCTTTTCATATTTAATGGACTGTCAAGATATAAATCAACTTTTTAATTCATTTGCTAAGATCAGAAAAAAGTGTAATTTGAAACAGAATTGCATTTAGACTTATTGCTGCCTCATTTAGTTAGTTCATTTTCAAAATTCACATTTTGGTCATCAATGGTTTAAGAAGTTCAGTCCATTTGTATCCCATTAATCCAACGGGAATTTGAATAATATCAAGAAACATATTTTCCACATGAATGAATAACCAAATATATTTCTTCAGTTACTAGATCTGTGGGAAATGGAAGCACAGCATTATGAAATACTTTAGTAGCCCATTCTTTATTTCAAATACAAGCCTGAGTTTGAGCAGCTTAATATATGGCCTTACCTATTTTGCAAATATATCCTACAGAAGCTAACTCTACCCGTTTTATCTCCTTTCTGAATTTTGCATTCTTCAGTTATGTCAGCAATTCTGAAGTGTCACTGGGCTCCTAATTAGGCACACTGTGTTATTTTCCAAATGCATTTCTTCAGAAAAATCAGCCTGCACATTTTACTACAGACTTTTCCCTTGCTTTTATTCTTTTTCCTCCATTTGTTCCACATTTTAACTCGGAACCAGAATACAAATAAAACATAACACTAAATCTTTAGATAATCTGAAGCAAAACTAGCAACTAGCAGCATTTAGTTCCATATGTATAAATATTTTCTGATGCTTGTGTATCCTATTGCAAAATGTGCATTCTTTGCATTTTCTTTTTCTAAAAGAAAAGCATGTGCATTTTTTTACTGCATCCTTCCAGTACTTTGCAGGCACCTTACCTGGCTGGTAGACAGAGGGCTTTATGCTGGCAGTAGTAACAACTCTCATTTTGGAAGTGGAAGAAGCAGCAGGACTTTCACCGTAGCTTCCAGAAACTGGCATTGGTGTGTATGACTGGCCTGTGTTTCTAAAAGCAAAATGTAGGTGTGAGCAACTTTATGAACAGCAAAAGTTACTGATCATGAAGTAACATATCTAGCAGCTTCCAAAGTACTCCAAGAGGAACTGTCTGTGAGAGCTACAGAGAGAATACTATGAGGTTCATCAGTCTTTACCATTGCTAAAAGTGGCTTGGACAATCCTTTGGAAAGAAAAACTAGCTGAGTAAGGATTTTAAATAAGGCCAAGTTTGCTTTTGTTGTCACAGAAAATAGCTTACTGAGGGAATATGACACATTTATTAAAGTAACTCTCAGTTTAACAAGGGATCAGACTTAGGAACCTGCACACAAAGTTTGTGTTTTCTGTCTCTCTACAAACAAAAAGTCCTGGTCCTGTCTAAGATAGATCAATGAGGGATATCTTGACTTAAAAATACACTGGCTCAGCACAATTACTACTACTTCAAATGCTAACTACTGTTTATATGCATTTTACTCTTTTCAGAAAGATTGTAGTGACCTTTAAAAAAACATTTCTGAAACTC